AATAAAATAAAATTATTTAATAAATTAATATTTTCAATTATTATTTTTAAAAAATTCTAAAATTGTAGTTACCTTAACAATATTGATGATAATAATAATCACACCCTTTGAACTCCAAGCTCTAAGTATTTCTATAAGAAAGAGTAAAAACTTTCCTAAGAAAAAAAAATAAGTTAAAACTGGTTTATAGTTTTTTTATTTTTTTTTTAATTTCAGTTATTTTAATTTCTTTTTTTAAGGGTTTAGAGTGTATTTAATCACTTGATATGAGAATTACCACCATTAAAACACTTTTTTAAAATTTAAATTACATCAAACTTGTTGTGAAATAAAGGTGGAGATGTTACACCTTTTCAATGGCATCGGACAAGCATTCTTTGCATAGCGGTTACATTTCTCTCTCCAATAGATGGCTAATGGAGTCCTTCACATTGAAATGTGATTTATCTCTCTATATGTCTAACTGAAATTTACTTCTTTTATGATAATAAAATTTCATTTTAGAAGTAACAATTTCTTTATACATAAATATGTCTATTCTACAACCCAATGAGGTGTTTCAATAGTTAAAAATTAGAGATCTCAAATTCAAATTTTGAGTCAAGTGAAGAGAAATTTAAGAAAAAAAAATGGTTATCTCTTTTTGTATAAGTTATTCAAATGTACAAATAAAGTTGTCTATTCTATATGAAATAATATGCAAGGTAAAGGCTTTCTTTGTTTTTGGTGGTGTTATTTTTCTAATTTTTTGTAGTTTTTGTTTTACTGATTTTCATATTATTTCATACCAAAATTGTAAAAAAGCAATGCTAATTATATTATGCAATTAGTGCATATTAGTTTCAATTTCTAAAAATAATTGAAGTTTCAATTTACATATTATTTCATAACGAAATTGTAAAAAGGCAATGCTAATTATATTATGCAATTAGTGCATATTAGTCTCAATTTCTAAAAATAATTGAAGTTTCAATTTACATTTGAAAATTAAAATCTTATCTTATTAAATATTGATATTTAGATTTAAAAATTCATTATATATTTTAAGGGAAATGCTTTTTGTACAGCTTTTTCATCCCACCTTTTTGTATAACCTGACATGTTATTAAAATGATTGGTTATTTTAATTCATGTGAAACCTGTAATATTGAATGCATTCACGCATTTAATAACATGTGAAAGTTGTATAAAAAGGTGGGATAAAAAAATTGTTTCAATAGCACCACCCATATTTTAATATAATTAGAATCTAAATCTAAATATTAACATTTAATAAGATAATTTTTTAAATTTGAATTGAATTTTAATAAAGTAAAATAAAATAATTTAAAATTAAAATTTCAATTATTTTTAAAAATTGAAAGTGATGTACACTTGTTTCTTATAACAGAGGATGGTGTTATTATTACACATTTAATCACTAATGTTACATCTTTTTATATTAATTGATTATTATACTTTTTACTTTATTAAGAAACAAAAAATATAACATTTTTGAAAAAAAATAATACAAGAGCATAATAAATAATTACGTTAAAAATATAATATTAATTATTTAAAAGGTAACAATAACTCTTATCCATAATAGAGGAGTGTGGTTATTGTCAAATCCTAAATTGTTAATGTTATTTTTTTAATATAATTATTTATTATATTTTTACATCACACTCTTTTTAAAAGATTTATATTTTTTTTATTTTTTAATAAATTAAAAAAATAATAATAAATTAAAAAATAATATTAATAATTAAAATTATGAAAATAACGTCACCCATAATAAAAAGAGTGATCTCACATTCATATACCTCCCTTTCATTAATAATTAATTTATGCAATCTAACACAATCTCAATTGTCAGAATATTTTTTTTATCACCATTCACCCAATCCCTTCTACATTTGTAGACTTTAATTTAATTTAATTTAATTTAATTTTACCTTTTAAATAGAAAAGAGCAGGTAATGAGTAATGGCTCATATTCTGAATTAATTATTTCCTTATCCATCAACGCGGATAGCAGGATGATATGACCTAAAGTCCTCTCATGCTGCGCCCCTATTGCTCAACTCACACATACTTTTTCAAACCGACTAAGTATTATTTATTTATTTTTATATCAAAAGGTTAATTATTTAATGATACGAAAGTAAATCTTGAATTACTATCTTAAATTAAAAATTTTAAATTAATAAATATTAATTTGACTAAATTTTTATTGATTACAAAATATTATTTATAAATGAAAATAGGTTTATACAAAAAGAATCTTTATGAGTCGATAATTCAAATTTTATTTTACAATTTAAATTGTAAATTATGAACTATTAAATAACAAGATAGCATTAGCATCTAATATTAAGGACTTGTTCATATTTAATAGTTTAGATTTTATAATCCTTGTAGTTTAAACTATATAATTTTTTTGGTAAAAACTTACTTTGAGCCCCTCACTTTATCAAGTTTGAAGGTTTTAGCCTCTTATCTTATATCATGACACCTTTAACCTCTCATCTTATTAGATTTGTAGGTTTTAGTCCCTCACCTATTAAAATCGAAGAAAATAACCTTCACTTTATACTAATTATTAACTCTGTTAGTTGAAAATAGATTTTTATCAATTAACAGTCAACTAATAGTCAGTTAACAGAATTAACAAAATATTATAAAATTAATTATGTTAACTCTGTTAGCTGACAAAAACCTTATTTTACCTAACAGTCAATTAATAGTCAACTAATAGAATTAATAGTCAGCTAACAGAACTAACAAAATGTTATAAAGTGAGGACTATTTTTTTCAATTTTAATAGGTGAGGGGTTAAAAGTGTCATAGTATAAAGTGATGGACTAAAAGCTACAAATCTAATAAGGTGAGGGACTAAAAGTGTCATAATATAATGTGAGAGGCTAAAACCTTCAAATTTGATAAGGTAAGGGGTTCAAATTAAGCTTTTGCGGTCTTTAAAAAAAAAAAAGTAGGCTTTTGTCATTCTGTTTGACAACTTAATATTAAGATATCAGTCCATTCAAAATGTGCCATCTCTAAATTGTAAAATAAAAAATATAAATTATTTTTTAATAATACAAAATACCACAAATTTTGAGAAAATTTCTGGCATTGGCTCTTAACTTTAGATATCCAAGATTTCAGGTGCTTGAAAATTTCAATTTGGGTGACCCCCAAACTGATATCCAAAATGGAAGTCATATAATGTGATAAACTAGATGCCAGTAAGAGATGATATTTAGCCATGAACTGTGTATCTCATAATTTACACTGTTATTCTACCTGTGATTTAGCTAGAATGAAAGCAAAAGCAGTTAAAAATGCCAATCAGAGTTGAAGCTCGTGCACTTGTATGTTAACAAGTTCCAGCCAAGACGGGAAACAGGTTTTTGGGGAATAAATCTGCTTGGGGAGTAAAACGTTGGCAAAACCCCACATTAAGTCCCTAAATTGATTGATCTCATAGTTTTAACTGAGTCTTTAGACCTTTTCTAAAGTAAATGAACCTTTGAACCACACTATATGTGCAATTTTGCCCTCTTTTTAGCAACAAATTGCAAAGTTACATACAAAAAATTTACAACTATTAGTACCATTAAACTAAATATGAAGAAAACAAAATTGTACAAATCATGGGGTTTAGAGACTTATTTGATTTTAAAGAAAACATTTAGGGGTTCATCTGGAGTCAGTTTAAGAGCTTCAGAAAGGTACATATCCAAGCTTTTTTAAAATTTAGTTAAAATCTACTTATAAAACTAATTTTTAAATTTCTCTCTAATAAATTTTTAAATTTATGTCAGAAAACTAATGTTGTTGAAGCAAAGGCTTTTTAAACTTTGTGAAACACCCTCATAGTGTGCTTTCTGGCTGCCATGAAGTTTGAATCAACAACACAATGAAAGAAATTAGGAAGTCAATAGAATCTGTGAAAGTCACAAATTGGCAGCCCAGTGTACATGAGAAATGCACCAGCTGCTAAAACATACAAATTGTATCTTGGTAAAACCCTATTTTAAGCCCCCCAAACTTACTCTAAATTCTTAATTAAGTCCTTAAATTTTTATTGAAGCAAATAAGCCCTTAAATTTAATAATCTAAGCAATTTAATCATCTTTCTTTATAGTAGGCTTAATGTTTATTCATGTCTTATTTTGCAAGAATAAAGTATTGATATGTCATTATCTATGTGACGAGTATTGACCTTACCTATATAAATAAGATACAAATGAGCGTTAGGTCTATTGTAAGAGAAATGGTTAAATTATCCAAATTATCAAATTCAGTGACTTATTTATTTTAATAAAAGTTTAAGAGCTTATTGAGAATCTAAAATAAGTTTGGGGACTTAACATAAGGTTTTGCCTTGTATCTTCATTAGTAGTTTTCTCAACGTCAACATTGCTAAACTCTTTATTAATGAAAATAAGGATTAATCATTTTCCATTTATGCACGTACTTCTTCGGTAAGGAGTGGATACCTAATTTCATGTCGATTTTAAACTGGAGACATGCAATAGCCAGCCGCAGCCTGAAACCAAGCAGATCCATGGAAATAAAGTAATAAACTCACCATTTTAGTGGTTATTTAACAGTTTAACACCAACACATGAAGGTGGCCTAGCCCATGATCGCGCGTGCAAAGTGGGCCTGAAACTAACCCAAGGCAGCCAGCCCCAAACTCTAATTTTGCAAATTTCATGGTTAGTTCTCATTTTTGGGAAGAAATGGTAGTGAATGTTGAAATGAGGTAACTGGCCTTTTGGATATCCAGAATTTCGCTCTTTTTTTAGGCTAATGCCCTAAGCCTTGAGTATAGAACCCACAGCAAGGGAGCAGAAGCAGATTAATCTATGGCATAAATAGATTAATAATGCCATTTTAAAGGAGGAAGAGAAAGTCTTTCCCAACCAACCATCCTTTACTAAGATCTTTTCCAAAGTTTCTAAGATGTTGGATAAGGAAGACATTCACTTCTTTAAAAATGTGCTTTTCAGTCTTGACTAATTTAATCAGTCTTAAGTGAAAAACCATACTCTCAATTGTTTATATATGAATTAAATGCTTTCGATTAAAAAAAAAAATCATTTCATTAATTAAGTCGAAGTAGTGTTATGGTCACTATAAGAAGCGTGCTGGCCTAATGAAGATCCTAAATTGCTACATCATTAATGGTATTCATTGAAGTTGAAACTAAATTTATATGTGTTTTAAGTTGAAAACCTATTATAGTTGTACAAGAAGATCAATTATCAAATAATAAGTTATACAATAAAAAAAGTATTTTTTTAGTTTTTTATTATTTTAGTTTCATTTAATTTTTTCTGATGTATCAAAAAAATAAAAAATAAAAGATAATATTCTCTTTTTTTAATCCCTCTCCCATCCTGTCTCAAGATTCAAACTTAAGACACGTGGAGATAATTATGTTTGTGCCGACATGGTGGATATTTGATAATTTCTAGTGAAAATCCAACTCATATTCTCCAATTTGTGGACATGACATACTAAATAAAAATAAAATGCTAAGAAATTCGGTGCGTGCAATGAGCATCAATAATTGCATTTGTGGGGTCTGTGTGTGCTATTTTCTGAATTAAATTTCTGATCCAACTAAAAATGCAGTGGGATTAGGAAAAACATTTGAGAAAAAAATGAGTAGCACAGATGTCCATCAGACTTGCACTTTCCCACTAAACATAACATCCCCATCAATGAACCTGATCACTATGTGGAATTACTTGTTGCATGTAATGATTTGGTGTAGTAGGAGGTTGATGTTTTGCTTGGAGTTTTCTCTTTTTGTTTTTCTTCTTTTACTGGATAGAACAAGGCTAAGATTGTGACATTACTGGCGGCCCCATTTTCATTTAACAAGACTCAGAACTAGATTGCTGCAAGTGCTTTGTGCACTAGCCATGGTGTTGCTGCCTACCAAGTTGAGTGTCAAATATGACCCATGTATATGCTCAACAATGTTCCTTCCTTTTCCATTATATTCATCATGATTGCCATGTGTTTATCCATTGCCTATACACCTTTCACTAGTTTTATGAATCTTCCTTTAAACTTCCCCTATTTATTTTTAATAGATGTACTTTAATTTGATAAAAAAAAATTTAATATCATTTATATAATATATTAATTTTTCATAAAAAATTGTGAATTTATTTGGATAAGCCAAAATTCTTGTATTATAGTTGCGGCTATTGTTATGTGAGTCGTCCAAAAGAGGGTCCAAACAGCAGTCCTTAGGTAGGACATCTTCCTTATTTCTTTTCTATTGTTTTGGATTCAACAGCTTCTATTAATTAAGGTTGGGTTTGGTGTATTGTGTTATTTTGTTTTTAATTTTGATTTCCATAAATTTTGTAAACTTATTTATACTATTATATATTAAAAAATTTTTCTCTTTTCTGAAGTAATCATGATAATATATTAAAAGTACACATAAAAATAAACAATTTTTTTTATTTACATTTACAAAATTTATGAAATCCAAAATCACAAACATACTATAGTAAATGAACGGCCTGTAACTTAATGTAAGATTCTTTTTAAATTTTGCTGCTGAAATCTATTCCCTATTTGGCTTGATCAATTAAAAAAAAATAAAGTTGGCTAATTCCACCTTCTCTCATGTGGATGCATTGCTATCAATCAAACAGTTAATGGGTGTGTTTGTCCACCATAGGAATGTTCTTCCAATAAACATTAACATTTTCTACTGCAGAGTGATAAATCATTAATCTAATGAATTGTTTTTTAGATTTAGTTAAATACTCTTTTTTTGTGTCCCTCTACTATTGAAAAAAGCCTCTTTTTATCCTTGTACTAAAAAAAAATTCCCTTTTTAGTTTTTAAAGATTGAAATCTAGTCATTTTTGGTCCTTCTGTTAAATTTTTTTACATGTGACAGTTAATTAATATAATTGTGTGATGTGAAAAATCCACTTTGTAAAAAAAAAAATGGTGTGGACATATTTTTGAGTCCACGTTAACATTTTCACCCTTTTGGGTGTATTTTTTTTTTTTTTTTTCAACTTTTGCCGGGTTCATCGCGAACCCAAGCACGTGTTGGGTTTGCGACAAACTCAGTGCGCACCTGGGTGGGTTTGTCCTGGGTTCGTGATGACCGTTAGCGAAGAATCCAATGAACCCAGGACAAACCTAGGTGCGTGCTGGGTTTGTGACAAACCCAATGTGTGCCTGGGTGGCTTTGTCTTGGGTTTGCAACAAACCTAGGTGTGCGCCTAGGTTTGCAATAAACCCAACTCACGCTAGGGTTTGTCCAGGGTTATCTCGTACCCAGTAACACATGGACTAGAAATTGGAATTTCACCTTTTATAACATGAAGGTCAAAATGGCACACTCCATAGCTTGCAACTGAGATGCAATTGGAGACCCCACTTTTACAACAAAAAATTAAATACAATTTAATGAATTGGGTATAGCTGTATTGTAGAAAAAATTGAATGAAAAAGAACAAGAAGGGAATTGAAAAAGAAAGGGAAAAGAAAGCACCTTTTGGTTTTGATGAGAAGCTCTCCAACTTTAGGGCGGGGCATATGAAATTCTTCAATGGTAAAGGGCTTATTGGATTCCCAGAACACAGTCCCACGCATGTACCCACTTGAGCTCACGTTGTATCCAGCCATCAACGAGAAGTTCCTCCAATTCTTGCCAATCCCATCGTTGTTGTCATTGGTAGCAAGGTCACACAAGGATCTACTCCGATCAGTCAAGACCCATGAGGAAGATAACATCGAGGAGTTGGGTCTTGAAGAAAGCAGTAGCTTTCTAGAAATGGAACTACGAATAATTGGAGCAAAACCCATATTGCAATCTGATTTGTGCCAAAGTTGGTATGAGCGCTTCGCTGGAGATGGGGAAAGAGATAGAGATGAGCCAGTAGAGTTTGAACCCAGGACGAACCCAGCAAAGGTTAAAAATTAAAAATAAAAAAAAATAAAAAAAAAAAGCTAGAAGGATGAAGATGCTAATGTGGACTCAAAATATGTCCACATCTTTTTTTTTTCAAAGTGTATTTTCCACGTCACACAATTAATTGTCACTTGTCAAAAAAATTTAACAGGAAGATCAAAAAAAGACTAGATTTCAATGTTTAAGGATTAAAAATGAGATTTTTTTTAGTACAAAAATAAAAAGACTTTTCTCAATAATAGAGGAACCAAAAAAAGGTATTTAACTTTTAGAAATCTGTTTCTATCTCCATCCAAAAAGAGACTTCCCTTACTATCTTTTAATTTCTCTCATTCAAACATGACAGGGTTGGCGTTGTGCCATGTTGAATTACCCTTTAGACAACCGAACCTCCTTTTTATAAGAACCACCTAACCGATATTAATTTAATGGCACACATGGAAATTAGAATTTGTTCACTCTGCGGGTGAAGGAGTGATTAGGGGATGCAAAAGTTGGAACTTTCACCAAAGGCTGAGAGAGAGATTCTCTCTTTTTCATTTCCTTTAACCATACATATTCTACGAGTTTTTATTGATTGAGTTAAAGGCCTTCAGCTATTGTTTTTTTATTAACAACTTAAATAATTTATTAATAATTAAAAAAAAAAAGGAGATTATCAGTTTAAAGTACATGATATATAGCTTGAGTATATTAAGGGACATTTTATTGTGCAACCCAAAATCAAAAAATAAAATAAAATTTTTATTATTGTTTTGATGATAGCATATTAACAATTAGGGTAATGATATGTGCATAATTTACTAATAATTTAAATGATTCTATGGTTGTAAACCCAGTTAGCTACCCAAGAGAGGGGTGAATTGGATCATATCAATTTATACTTAAAAACTTGTTCCTTTTTCTTTCAAACTTAAATCAAATTTCCAATATATAAACTCTTGTGCAAAATAAACAAAGAATAATAAAATGTAGAAAAATAAAAAGAAAGGGAAGAGAATATCAAGCCGTGATTTATAGTGGTTCTTTCAACTCGAAGTACGTTCACTCCCCAAACCTCTTTGCTCGAGAGTTCAATCCACTAGGATTCTCTTACTTACGGGTGCAAGATTAAACTAGAACAAACTCTTGCTTGTGGGTGCAAGATTAAACCTCACACTCTTGCTTTAAGGTGCAAGATTAAACCCTCACAAGTGAATCTCAACAACTCACTCAACCCCTTCAAGGGTTACCCCAATCCAAGAAGAATACAAAACCCTTGTAAGACAATTAACCCAAAAGCTTACAAGAAGAAGAAGAAGAAGAAGATCTAGAATAGTTTCAAAAACAAACTCTTTTTTCTGTCTATCTGGAGAAGTTCGTTCTTCTATATTATTCCAGATCTGATTTTGATGTTATTTTAATAGTTGGTTGGGAGCTCTTGCAATTAAAGCCTATTTTGTCCTTCAAAGCCACCTCAAAATAGCTCCAATCAAATTCCACTCTTTTTCTTTTTTCTATAATGGACTTTGACTTGTCTTAGAATGTGCTTAGTCATCTCGATCCTTCTAAGGCCCATTAAAACAAAACAGATAATTGAACTATTAATATTTTGCCTTCCAAAGTTTTTTTGTTTTGAAGCCAAAAATATTGATTCGAACTGTTTTTGGAAAAAGAACTTTGGGATTGGTTCAAATCAATTCCAATTGATTCGAACCTAGAACTCTAGACAAGGAGAACATGAATTAATTCTAATCGTAGGAAAATATTAAAATCATTGAATTAACTTTTTAACACATTTAGCACAAAAATAGATTAAACTCTTTTGAATCATGGTTTTAAATCATTATTAAAATACAAAGAGAATCTAATACTGATAATTTTTTTTTTTACACAAAAACAAGAGATTCTCAATTTAAATCATAAGTATGCAAATGAGTTGGTAAAGGAACGCAATACGTATCCCAACAAGTATAAACACATATTTTATTAAAAAATTTACAACCAATATTATAATCCATACTATATAGATTCTCAAAGTGAAAAACATCTCAAAATGACTTTTAAGACATCCTGCAGCTTTGCGCTAAAACCTTCCTCAACAAAAATCCTACCGTTTCATTCAGACAATTCCTTGAACACTTGGTTATCTCGAAGCACCCAAAATCTGATTCAGCCTTCAAATGACTACCAAAACACAAACGCATTTTGTACCTACAGCTCCAATGTCCAATACCCCTAAAATAGCAAGCACTCTCTCACAAATGTTCCAATAAAAAGCATGCAATAGGATCACCAGATAGAATTGGATTTTTTTGCATGAATTTCAAGAAAAAACAAAATAGAGAGAGAGAGAGAGAGAATTGGATTTAGGGAAAAGTAAAAATCTTAAATGTTAAAAATGCTTATAAAATTATTCAAATGAAAAAAATTGTTTGATAGTTGGACTAAAAAGATTAAGAGTAAAATCATTGTAAAATTACATTATTATTTTAATAAACTTTTGAAAAATACTAAAATGATTTATTTTTAAAGCAAAAATTAAATTATTTTGATTTTTTTCATAACATTTTATTGAAATAACATAATTTTTAGACATTTTTCTTTTAAATTTTTTTGGAGCATGCCAATAAACATTAATATTTATTCAAATACCCTTCTTTTTATTAAATGTTTTCTTATATATTACTCACTCTCTCGAACTTTAGTAAATTTAGTTTTTTATTCAAAAAAATAAAATAAAAATATAGTACGAGTAATTAATCGAATAAAAATCTATGTTTATGTTAATTAATGTGACTATTTAAATAAGTATTCTTATTTAATATATATGTTGTAATTATCATTTTAAAACAATGATAAAATAAAATAAGCAATATCTTAAAAGGAAAAAAATGAATAATTAAGTTTAAAGGTCTCAAACTAAAAATTAAATTTATTAAAATTAAACAGAAGTAATAATTTATTAACAACTCAAAATAATTTTTATGAAAATACTATAATTATGATATCATGTAACATTATAAACTTATAATATGATATATTTTTATAGAGTAAAGATTCATTTATATACAAATTTTATATACCACAATTATACAAAATCTCAACAATTGATGTACAAAAAAAAAAAATCTCAACAATTCATGTACCAAAAAAAAAAAACTCAACAATTAATCTTTTCATTTTCAATGGTTGAGATTTATCTAAATTTATTAAAGATAGTTATTGTTTTATATAAAAAATCATGATAAATTTTAACTATTGAAAACAAAAAAATAAATTATTAAAATTTTGTATAAATATAGTTTATAAAATTTATATATGAATAAATTTCTTCTTATTTTTATATAATTAATTATTTGCATTTGTGATATTGTATATCCACTCATTACCAATAGTCATACATTGAGAAAATGTGTGAATAAGGATATTAACTTTATACGTCGTTAATTTTTAAATAAATATGTTAATTTTTTTTTTTTAAAGAAATCAATTTTTAACTTTTTTATTTAAAAAAATTAACTTTTATTTTTTTATTTAAAAATATCAATTTTTAATTTTTTTATTTAATAATTAATTGATGATAATCCTAACATGACTAATCATATTTTTTAAACCAAATGTTGAAAGTTAATATTTTTAAGTAAAAAAATTAAAAATTAATAAATAACATTCTTTAATAAAAAAATTAATATATTTATTTACAAATTTACTCTTATACTCCCCCCCTACAATCTGTACTGTAGCATTACCGCAGTCCGTTGAGCTGATTTTCCTCAACCTCTGGAAAAGGATTACAAATCGTCACGCCCATGCTTTGACCGTAATCTCTATGAAAAGCCCTCTACGATCACGCCTTATAGCCTCTGTTGAGAAAGGAATCACAAATCCTTAGCCCTCCTATAGCTTCAGCTATCATCCCAGGAACAGAAAACCCTAAACCATGAACCCTACGCTGGCTACATTGTCATCACCATCATCCTCTTTCCTCCGTCTCAAAACCCGCTTCTCCCTTCCTCCTCCCTCCTCAACTCTCCTTAACCCCCACCCTCTCCCTTCCCTTAGCGTTAGGGCTTCCTCCAATCCCACCCCTAACCTCAAATCCTTCGCAAAGACCACAATTTTGCTCGGTGCAACCACTTTAATGATCGGAAAGTTTTCTCAGTTTCCGGCCAAAGCAGAGTCTCCAGTGACAGTCACCGAACAAACTTCCATTCTGGAAGAGAATACTCAAGAGCAAGAGACAGCATCCCCACTGTCGGATTTCCTCGAATCCAATACCGAGGCCATTGAAGCACTCAAATCGGTTTTGCAACAGAAGCTTGAAAGTGGGGAAGACGAAGAGGCGCTCAACATTTTAAACCGGTTAGTGTCTTTGCAGCCGAAGGTAATGGAATGGAAATTCTTGTTGGCGAGGTTGTTAAGTGAAATGGGTCAGACAGAGAATGCACGTAATGTGTTCGAGGAAATTCTTGACAGAAATCCCCTGTCCTTTGAGGCATTGTTTGAGAATGCTTTACTGATGGAGCGTTGTGGGGATGGGGAAGCAGTGATGAGGAGATTGGAAGAAGCATTGTCAATTGCGCAGGACGAGAATAAAGTGAAGGAAGCAAGGGACGTGAGGCTGATTATTGCACAGATACTGTTCTTGCAGAAGAATGTGGAGGAGGCCTTGAAGAGTTACCAAGAGCTGGCCAGAGAGGATCCCAGTGATTTCAGGCCGTATTTCTGTCAGGGAATGATATATAGTTTGCTTGATCAGAATGAGGAGGCTAAAGAGCAGTTTGCAAAGTACAGAGAGCTTTCACCCAAGAAGTTTGAGGTGGAGGGGTATTTGAGAACACCATTGTCAAGGATTAAGCTTTTCGGGACCAATGACAGCATATCATAATGGGTGGGTGCAAATGCAATGCAATGCTATTGAAACTTTAATTATTCTATTTTGGTGTGACATGATGCCTCTGTTATGGTAACTGTTGCTTTCAATTGAAACTTTAAACCCAAAGACCTTTTTATCTTCTTAATTTTCTGTTCATTTAGAGACTAAAGCTCTAATGCTGGTAAGTCGAACTAGTGTTATCATAATAAGAAGCTTGCTGGCATAATGTTGGTAATGTTTCGAAGAGTTAGTATTATGGTTATGGAGATGGTCTGATGATTTGCAATAAGATCCTAATTTACTACTTCATTATTCATCGAAGTTGGAATTGAATTGATTTGACTTTTAAGTTGAGAACCTTCTAGGGTTGACATGGAAACCAATCATGGTTGTGCCAACATGGTGGATGTCTGTCCATTTCCAATGAAAATCCAACTCATAGTCTCCATCTGTGGACATGACATCCTAAATGAAAATAAAATGCTAAGAAATTTGGTGCTTTGTATTGAGCATCAATAATTGCATTGGTGGGGACTGCATCCACGTGTGCTGTTTTTCGATTGGGTTTCTGATCCAGCTAAATGCAATAGAATTAGGAAAAACATTTTAAGAAAAAAATGATTTGCAGCCACCAAGTTATATCTGTAACCAATATTTTGAAAGTTGCCTATTTGATATCTATCAAAATCTTGATGCTATTTGTTTGACATTTTATATCCTATATATGCATTTTCCTTGTGTTGACGCTTAGACCCAATTATGCAAGAAGCCTTCTGATGTAATGCGATGCTTGTCATGGTCATTTCTTCTTCCTCCATTAAACGTATGCCAGAGGTCTAACTTATATTTTAATTCGCTGCAGGTGAGTTGTGTGTGGAAGCTCTAGAAAATGCTTGTACTTTGGTTTTGTAATCCATAAAATCAAACTGTATCACGGCAGGCTAGAATGTGCAATTGAATTCATTTGCAATTTTGGTGGAGGTATGGACTTAAATTTTTGTGAGATGACAAGTTTCAAATGTTATATCTCAGGCAGCTCTTTTCTCTTTGTTCATGTTTTCATGATCAGTCCTTTTTCCTTAAAGGCCCTGTTTTTTGATATCACTTGTAAAAAAAAAAAAGGTATTAAATAAGAGAGAGAGAGAGAGAGAGAGAGAGAGAGAGAGAGGAAATGTTATGAGTGAAAAAGTTTATGACCCCATTGTTCTTAACATTAACACCTGAAGCTGGTACGTGCCATATACAGCCCAACAATAATGTTAATCTGTCATATTATTTGTCGTATTTGCAATGCATCAAATTACTAGTTTTTATTCTTCAAAAGCAAGACAGCCCCTTCGGTTGTGTGTGTGTTTGTGTTTTTTCTTTTTTTCTTTTGAACATTGGGAAATTTTAGCTACTCGAACCATGGCAAGCACAATGAACTGTGGATGCAATTACCAACGCTGCTGACATTCAATTGTTTAGGAGGTATATTTACATTTGTAGTCAACAACGAGAATGTTAGGTTGGGAGATGGCAAGTTGCTTATTAGAAGGAGTTTGGACCCATCAGACACGCAGATTCCCACTTAACATAGCATCCTCAACGATGAACTTCATCACTTTGTGTTAGTTGTTGTATGTAATGATTTGATGTAGTAGAATCCCTTTTTGTTTCTCTTCTTCTACTGGAACAAGGCAAGATCCTGACATTACTGGCGGCCCCATATTCATTTCACAAGCATTTTTCAAAATGCTTTGTTGATGTATTTTTATCATCCAAGAGAGGGGGACTCGCTCGGACTGCTGCAAGTGCTTTGTGCACCAGCCATGGTGCTGCTGCCTACTAAGTTGATTGTCAACCGTGACATATAAAAAAAGCGTAACAAAAGTTCCTTCTTTTTCGATTTATCATGATTGCCACATGTTTATCCATTGTTGAAACACCTTTCATGAGTTTTCTGAATCTTCTTTTACATGTTATTACTATTAGAAATTCAAATATTTCTTGCAGATCAGGACAACCTTTTTTCCCCTATCTATGTTATTGTCTGAACTCTGAAGTATAGACAAAACCCCCATTTTAACAACTTTCAGCTCTGTACCAGGGTTCAGTATCACCGTGGATTTATTTGGATAAAGCCAAATTGTTGTATTATTGTTGCGGCTATTGCTGTGTGATTCGTGGTTCGACAGTATTGGCATCATGTTTTAAAGAAAATGTCATATTTATAATATTATATATTTTTTTAATTTTAAAAATATATAAAATTATAATATGTTTAATATTTATTTTAATTACTATTTTGTATATTTTTAAAATAATGAATAAAATAAAATTTAAAAAATTAAAGTATGGAAAAAGACTATCAAATAAAGCCTGAGTCATCCAAAAAGAGGAGCCAAAAACGGCAGGGTGCTTAGGTAGGGCATCTTCCTCATTCCTTTTCCATTGTTTAGAATTAAACAGCTTTTAATTAACCAAGATTCCTTTTATGGGGTGTTTAGGCATCTTTCTCATTCCTTTTCCATTGTTTAGGGTTAAACAGCTTTTAATCAATCAAGATTCCTTTTAAAGGATGTTTGGTTGGTGGGAAATTTTTAAATTTTCATCTTCATAAGATTATTTATATAATTTTACATATTAATATTATAAAAAATAAGGATAAAAATAATATTTTTAGCATTTATTTTACTTGACATAATTCTCAACTCAACCCAAAAAGTTTTCTTTTCATATATTTTTTAAAGAAAAAAGTTTCCCTATACTTTCTTAAGGCCCACTTAACAACTTTTCTTACTAATTTTTCCCACATCAATTTCCTACTAAATATAATAAAGTTATTAATTTAATAAAATTTTTATAGAAAACTTAACAACTTTATGTATGGTACTTTTTAACTTTCGATATAGTAATTTTTAAATCACTTTTTTAATAAAAACTTTCTTACTTAAGTTACTCTCTAACCAAAGAAACCCTTAACATCTACTACTAAAATCTTCTATATTTTTGCCTTGGCCGCTAAAAGAGAATTTGGTTTGGCTCCTTCTTACCATCTCTACAAATAATGTCTCAGGTTAAGTGATTAAAAACTTAGCAATCATCGGTTCTACACCTTTTACCCTTGTAGATTTTTCTTAAAGGTTTTTATTGAGTTTTGTATTTATACTTAATTATTATAATCTATTATGTATAATTGTGTACTAAAAAAATCCTATCATCTCTCCCTTGGACGCGTTGCTATCAATTAAATAGACAGTGGGACTGTTGGTTTACCGTAGAAATGTTCTTCCAATAACTAGCAACATTTCTTCCAATAACTAGCAACATCATTGTAAAGCAAAACCATATGTCTAAACTAATTCTAAATTTATTATTGAATCTTTAAACTTTAATTAACGTATATAAGCTTTTGAACTCCATGATCTAAACAATTTAGTCTTTATTCTTATGTTAGTTAAAAAATTAAGAGTTAAATTGCTCCGATTGTGGAGTCTAGGGGCTTATAGTATTAATTAAAGTTTGGAGCTCAAGAGCAAATATGGGGTTAGTTCAGGGACCTAACACATATCATTTTGCCTTATTCTAATACAAAGTGATTAATCAATCATTAATCTAATGAATTATTTTCCGACTACCCTTTCTATCCCTATATCGTTGTTCACATCTAAGGGTCAGCGTTGTGCCACATTGAGTTACCTCGGGTGGCAGCCACTGATATGACGTTGCTTCCAAAGATTGATTAACAACATAAACATGTTTATTTAGGGGGGAGAATATATGAAACACATGGAAATTTGAACTTGTTGATTAGACTAAAGAGAAAGTTAATTACTAATTAGATTCAGATGCTTGCTCCTTCTTTTTTCTCTCTTTAAGAACTTTGACAAAGCTTTTATTCTTATCTTGACGACAGCATTCGTAATGGGTGGGTACAAATGCAATATAATGCCGCAATGTCTGACGCCTTGTTTGTTTCTTATTCTAAATAAATGTATTGCCAGAGTGCATGAGAATGACCTGACTATGCATGAGAATGACCTTGCTATGTTTTTTATTTTAATTATTCTATTTTGGTGTGACATAGAGTCTCCCCTATATATATATTTTTTATCAATAAATAAATTTTTATTAAAAAATAAGGTAAAAAAGGTCCTTCAACTCATCTTGCACTTTGGTGTGACATAAATCTAACCTCCCTTATTATTCTTATTTTTACTTTTTTATCGGCAAATCAAACCTCTCTCATGTTAACGATTCCTTTCAATGTTGAAACTTTAAACCTGAAAACTTGTTCTTTATTCTTTTTATCAAGCAAACTAACCCCACTCTATAAAAGTTTATGAAAGTCGGTTCCTCAGTACACCTGCCGATCATTTTTTTAATTTCACTTTGAAGAATACAAATTTATTGGTTATTATCACAACATGCATTTCATGCTTCTTAGCCCATTGTTTTATCTCTAAATTCAAAAGTATTTATAATAGCTTAGATAAGTTTCATTAGATATTTATATTTTAATTATTTTTTATTTTATTTATTATTATTATTGTTTGTTACGTAATAAAAAGTAACCATCTCTAATATTTTAATCCATCTATTCCATCTA